TCAGTTTTCTGCTCTCTGTACTTAATATGAAGACGAGCATCGTTTCGAGACGCCATGAGTTGAAATGAGTTGAAACTTAACATATGCCCTATACGTGACCACTTAATTCCAAATTTAATGGTTACTCCAGACTGTTGCGTTTACATCTTGTAGTGTCCGTCGAAACGGATCTTTACGCAAAATTTCGCATATTTCTACGGCCTTACTCGAAACACATAGAGGATAATTTAAATTAAGCCATAGATCCATGATATTTGAGTATTGGATTATTTTATCGACATATCGACTATTTTATCATTGATCCGCTAACGCAGTACGTTGTTTGCTTTTCAGTTGTTTTGTTTATACGAAATTGGTTTCTCATGAGATATCTTTCAGTTATTCACAAACTGTTGCAAAACTGCGACCGCCGACTCGCATATTTTGACAGGGTGTAAAGTTTCCATATCACTCTGTACTACTGCTTTCAATGTGGTTTTGCTTAATTACACTGAGTAGAGATAAGTATTTCTTTTGAGAAAGTTGTGTGTTGTTTTCGTTTGTGAGGATATCCAGAATGTGCAGTTCAGATTTTAACACTGAGCTGTGTGATTTTTGAATAGTGAATACAGTTCGGTGTAATTTGTCTCCGTTCTTATGGCTTATCATCGAGTGAATCATTCGTTTTTTAGAAAATGATTTTAATGAAGTAAAACAAATGTCCTGAATCTGTTTTCTGCTTTGAATAACGAATAGATTCGATGTCGTACGTAACATAAACAGATAAATACGATTTTCAGCAGTAGACAGATTTTACATATTTGGTCATCTGTTTTTGATTACATTTCGCCGTGCTGCTGCTTACCGATTTTTTTTGCAGTGGCAGATGGGATGGCCTTGCCGAAATTCAGAACCAATGCATCTGCTGAGAAGCCACAACACCCGTATTATATCGTGTATCGAAAGGTATGTCAGTGAATGTAAACTGCTTAACATGTAGCGTATGCATCTGCGCTGACAATTTCAGTGTGTTCGTCATCTGTCTTAGATAAACATTTGTCAACATTTTGATTATTTTTCTTCGTCAGGGTAAATTTGAAAGTTCTTCTTATGCGTTCTTCTTGGTACGCCACGGGGTACATTTTGAAAACAGCCTAATGGAAACAATTTATTATGTACTAGCATTTTTATAATTATGTAAAAAAATTTGTTCCATTTGTAAAAATGTCAAACGCAGCGAATTGAGTAAGTATATTTCCATTCAGCTAGAGTGCTCAGTCCCAAATTTTACAATAGCGAGAAATGCGCATTAATGGTAAGGGTGATGTTCCTTAATTCTTACCATATAATGAGATCTCGCTCTTATGTCAAGCCAATTGTTTATTGATCTTCCAAAATCGTACAGCGAAATTCACATTGAGAGGAGACTACTCTCCGATAAGGCAATTCTTATATATTTATCTCACCATAAGCAATGCAGGACTCACATGCATTATGCAGGATCATGTGCTGTTTGTCCCTCCTGCTAAATGAAAGTTTTCATTAATCCGCTTAGACATACCATGATCCGTGTCAGCAGAATTGCTGTACAAGTCCTCTCTACATTCCAGTGTACAACGTGATGTCGTCAGCGCTTCTACGTGTATATTTTTGAAAGTTCATTCAGTTAATGCAAATGAGTTGACGAACCCTGTTACAAAGCGTAAACATATTCACAAATTTTATTTGTAGTTCATTCTTCCGTTGTAAACAGATAAATTTATCGCGCGTAATTACTAAAGTAGCTGAGAATCTGCAACGCAGCTAAAACTTTCGACTGCCAAACTTTTGAAGCTTTGATGAGGATGACGCTTTTACGCTGCACTCAGCGACTTTAATTGATGGTTTTTTGTTACATGCGTAAAATAATATCATAGATGCTTAAAATATCAGAAGAATACATAGAGTCAGCCTGTATCTTCGGCTATGACCTTGTTAATTTTGAAATCTGCTTAAGAATGTAATAAAAACTGCATGTATAGTTTGTGGATTTGATAAATTAAACAAAATGATGTGATTAGAAAGTGCAAGTTTCTACTGTTGCCGTATTTTTTGTTTTTGCTGTAGCCTTATGCTTGATTGTATTTTTTTGATAGCTCGAAAAAATAATCAAGCGGATGCTGGATGAGAATGGAGGCGTGGCTGTGCGTACCGTCAAGAGCTTTTTGTCAAAGATTCCTAGCGTGTTCACCGGTTTCGACTTGGTTCAGTGGATCCATACGAACATTCCGACGGATGATCTTAGTAATTTCATTCATTCTGTTTGCTTGTTTTCTTCAACAATTTTTTTTTCAGCCGAGGCACTGCATCTGTCGCACATGCTGGCCTCACATGGCTACTTATTCCCAATCGATGACCATCTACTCATGGTTAAGTGCGATAACACCTTCTATCGATTCCAGGTATTTACTGGCTTTCTTTACGTTGTCGATGCGCATTTCATTATAAACTTACCAGTTTATACGGAATAATTATCAAAGCAACTGTTTGTAACAGAAACTGTTGCTTTATCACTATCGCTTAAGTGCTGTCAGCGGACGTTCATCAATCTGAATAATATTCAGTGGCTAAAATTGCCTGCCGCTACGGATGCTTTTCTCGTTAGGACTGTTCGCTCACCTTACTTCTTTTATTGCAGCAATTTATCACGTTTCGTTTTCAGTGCAAATTGCTCTTCTACATTAATGCTGTTTGTTCATCAAATGACTGCTTTTGTCAGCATGGTTGTTGTCGCCTTTCGGCTATGCGTCATTTTGTGAAATGATGCAGAGAGTACTTCGCTCTTGTCCTAAATATTTGCTATGGCTACTTGCTGTTTTCAGTGTTTGTCTTGATCTTATGCCTTTGGATACTCGTATTGATCATGTAATATTTAAATTTTTTTCCTGCCTTCTCATGAATTCTAATTTCAGTCCACAGAATAATTTATTTTTGACTTGATGTTTTTCTTAATATTTGAACTCGTTTTTTATCAAGCTTTGTGACTACAGCTTGATATGCAATGTTTTCTCTAGCTTTACTTGTTCAGATTTTGGCAGGATCGAATTTACTAATTAGCATGTTTGATTGGATTCATCGTTGATAATAAATTTGCCGCAAGCTGTTCAGCAGGTCACGTCGTTCTCTGTCTAAGAAACCTGATTAGATCTGTCGAATGATTTTTTAATATTATAGCAATAGAAACAGGTTGCATTGATGAAGTAAAATAGCTTTCAGATGTTTTCTTATGGAACTCGTTTAGACTCCATATTTTTGGCCCACCAACTGTTGGGAGCCGGAAAATACGGATTACGGTAAGAAAGACTGACATTATACCTATTTCCATTGTAATTTAAGCCGTTTACCTATGCAAACGAACGATGCATAACAAAGCTCATTTGGAACTTGAGGATTTCGAGGCAGAAAATCTGTCTAAATTGCAAAAAATGTTTTGCAGAAAGTGGGAGTTCATATTTATGCAGGCTGAAGCCCAGTACAAGTAAAACAGTGAATATCGAATATCCTGTATGTTAAAACTCTGCTAAATCTTTAGAGTGGATAAGAAGAGGGATAGACAAGAACGCCAGATTCTTGATAGTCAGGAACGAGCTTTCTGGGATCT